AGAGATAAATACTGACACAGGGAAACACAAAAAGCTCCCTTACTCTGGTAAAACATCACAGAACAGCGTTTAACACACCTCTCCGCCTTATTTTAAGTCCAACCTTATCTGAACAGCCCCAATGCCTTCTTCCATTTCTACCAGTTCTTGCAAGGCAAGAGTTTTAAAGACAGTCTGAAGCAACTTCTACTCACTTTTCACTCTTGGGCTAGAAACCTGAACAGTGACTTGCGTTATTTTCATCTTCTAACAGAAGAGGTTAGAGACGTGGACTGCAGTTTGAGTAAGAGCTTATATTCTGCAGATCAGTAATGGTCTAGGTGCGCTGACTTGCCAGTGTTTCTCTCTCTACTATCACTGTAGAGCAGGTAACTGCATTTCACATTCTGTGCCTCAGCCTGCAAGCTTTTAGCTGAGCTGCCAACCTCCTGCTGAGATCAAAATAATATATGGCTTGCTAGTAACTTTTGACTCTGTAGGTCATTCACTAAAGGATCGAAGCTGACTCTGCCATACTGACCAATTACGATTTGGCACCCCAGGCTGTACTTCTGTCCATCCTCCAGTTAACCCTAAGAACTGACTTTAAATACTCTAATGGTCTTTAGTAGTATAAGCTTAGAAAACCGGTGCATAATGTTGTGCCGCAAAAGACAGTCTTGGTTTTATCATTTCTTGATGCAGGGATGAGACAAGAAAGCTTTAACTAGGGTCACAGGAAGTTTCTTTACAAAGCCCATTTTGTTTAGTGATTGTTCCCATTCCATCAAAAAAAATGAGGTACTGTCAAACCAGAGTGCATTTCCAGTCATCTGTGCTTCAAAGAACTCAAGATGTAACCCTTCACAGCCTCAAGACTCAACTCTTCAAAGGCCAGAATTGTGTTCTCTCAGGAGGAGGACGCAGCCGGCTATAGTACCCCCTTCAAAGATATCTCAAATGCTCTCCCTGGAACACTGCCAGTTCGCAGCCCAAAGAACACCAGGTATCTTTGTCACTAGATGTCAGTAACATGGCACTTCCTACAGAAGAGAAGTGATGCCTCCCTTCTGACAGGGAAAATATGGAAGTAGGCAGTTTGGCAACATCTCTTCAGATTAGAGATTGTCCCTCCAAGCAAAACTCAGAGACAAGCACAGCTTTTACTATAGGAAAAAATAGTAGCTACAGCTCTGATAGCATTCAAGCAAACGTTGCCCAACAAGACACGTGAGCCCGTATGCAGTTAGAAACCTGTAATACCTACACTTCCGAGTCGCAGAAGCTATCTAGACTCACCTATCTGGGAAAGTTCCAGGCTCAGATTTTGGCAGCCTGAGGCTAAAACTTGATAGCAGCTTTGTCATACTAAAGCAAGCAGAAAACAGACCATGGAATCATACAGCTTATGGGGAGAAGACTAGATCAAAAGCGAGCCATTTCCTAGTGGGGAGAGAAGTCAACTACACTGGACGATAAGCAGAGGCTGCATTTCCTGCAGCTTTACTGAATCCAAAAACCTAACCCAGGGAAGAATGGAAGTGGAAACGTATCTAGAAGAGCCATTGGATAAAAGCCCATTTTAAGCCTCAGAACAAGCACAGTTCAGCATCAGCAGCACTATGTTCTGCCTCAGCAGGTTTTCCAGAGAGGAAGCTAGAGGGTGCAAGCCATGACCTAGCTAATTCACGTTTGTATCAGTAGTACAGGCAAATAATTTTAGGGGAAGTTCCTGCCCGATCCGACTACAAGACCTTTGCTCAGGCTGACCTAGCACATCGGTGCAGGCCTTCCCTAGGCGTCCTGTGCCGCACAGAGCTTGACTCTGTC